TATTCTTTGTAGATATAGGCTGCGATCCAAACCAATTGCGAAGCAAGGAACAATGCGATTAAAAAAACGTGTCATACTGTAGGAAGTGTAGATGTGTATTGGTAGGCTTCCTTTTGAACTGTAGCTGGGGTTCTTAAAACCCTTCTTTCTGAACGTATTTGTATATTCTGTAGCCTCCGCAGTGTTGAAGATGAATCTCATTTTAGCTACCTTTCAATTCTATTCTGATGTAAGATCGGATTTATTTCATCAAGCCTCTCTAGTTAATTCATTGTGGTTGACATGGCTCCAGTTGATCAATTCGCCCTTTTAATGCAGTGTGGTGAGTCATTGTTAGTCCTTGCCGATGTGGTGAACGCTATGTTAAAGAGGAGGAAATGTTATCCCTCTCATTAGTTCCTTAGTTGAATTGAATTAATAAGGTTGCTGTGATATGTGATATGTTTGTGATATGTTTGTATCTGCAAATATTTGTAACCACTATTTTTAATATGTATTGATATTATAGAACGTTGAGTGTTCTTATTGTATTATCAATCCGGAGTAGAATAGGTCTTCAGCAACCCACGCTTGCCGTTAATGGCGACTATGCTTGTCGTAAGAGGCGACTAACGGGATCGGGTGGTCAGGCTCTCTGACTTGGTTGATGCATGTCATTGATCCTAATTGCGTGAATCGATGCTCATGATATCACTGGATTGTCTGGTCCAGAATCGATTATTTACAGACCGCCGTCATATAGCTGGAATATTTGGTTTCATGATCAAATTGTTCTTTAGTTAAAACTATACCGGTAGAAAATAATACGGTGTATCATCCTATTGTATCTGAGTAGATCAATTATAAACATAAACTCCAAAGGACTTCATTCACTATTAGGACTGGTCCATTTTAACAACTGGCAAATCTCATATGTTTTGACAAGCCATCTCCATTCCACTGTCTAACAGATGTCTGACAAATGGGATATGACCGAAAAATGGATAATTTGAGATTGCTGACAGTTGCCACCTGGTGATTGGAACATCACGCATGCATGGACCACGACACTGGAACAAATCAACGTGGGATGTTACCGTGTTCAATGTGTTTCATCGAATGCTCCCTGAAATTATTTTTTTTATAATATTTGTTTGTGCTGATCAGGATTTATGTGACAGAAAGTATTCACATAATTTGGTGGAACATTGTTGTCATTCAACTTGTGGACAAGGTGTGTATCCCGTAAAGTTATTTGTCTAGAGTTGCACTGCTTTACGTACTTTTCAGGACAGTGGATCTTTTGACTTTCTCAGTTCGATTTCCGATAAACCATTGGTCGCAAGATTTTGGCACGTCAAGAAATTGGTCATAGCAATCAGGCTGTATCAGTGACGGTCAACTTCAGCTAAGACACTATCAATGATTTAAGGCAATTCCCCGGGACTGGTTGTTACCTTTGTTATTGTTTTTTTCCCGTGAGTACCTGGATGATAAAGCATAAACCTAGACTAGTTCGCAACCTGTGCTGCGCAATTCGTAAGCGCATTTGTCACTTTTATTGATAGTAATAGGGTATATGGTCACATTGATCAACAAAATGAAAAACAGTTTGTGAGAACATCGGTAATGGTGACGAAGTTTTGATAAGTCACTTGCTTGGTAATTCTGCGGTTTTCGTTTACACTATTTTGACTTGCAACACAAAGTAAATATTTCTCCTGAGCATTGCTTATTTTATCGTGTTTATATTAGGAAATTAGGAAATTTATTAAACGCCTGAATATTCAGTTATTTTACAAATTGACTGACAAATATGTCCATCTGTATTATTATGACAACGAATTCCAAACATTTTTATGTTTAATATCATCACCAAGAGACTGAAAATGTTACGATGAAAAGTACATTTCTATATTGTTTGGCTTCTAATCCTACATAATAATCTGTTGTGATGTTTTTAGGCCCTATTGATCGTCTTAATCAATTTTGGTCAATCTGTTAAAGAAATGGACAGATTTTTCAGTCAAAATGACACATTTTATAAATCGCCTGAGAGAATCTGGTAACATGTAAGAGCAATTTTGCAACACTGATAACACTATATTAGTCCCCTATTACAATATTAGGGAAGGGAAGTTATGGATGTAAAAATCTTTATGAGGAACACAACGATATATATGTTCTCGGCTTCATATCATTTATTCACCTGATGAATGAGTAAGTATATACTCCGAAACGTTGTGTCCCTCATAATATATGTGTGTTTATGTGTGTGCGTGCGTGCGTGCGTGCATGCGTGCGTGTGTGTGTGAAATGGCAATGGACAAATAGAATCCTGCTGGATAATTAGCACAGACAATAATCAAAGCAATAAGTCCCAGTCCATAAATTCTCTTTCTTATGTGTATCACTTCTAAATGCCATTCAAAGACTTATTACAATGTTTCAAGTCTCATTGTCGGTGCCAATTATCTAGCTGGCTTCCATTTGTCCATTGCCATTTCCACTCTATCACCTATCAGTGTTAATTACCCCGTTTGCCCATTGTCCATTGTCTATTACCAACCAGTGATAGTCCTATCTTTCAGTTGTCCATGGCTATCAACTGGTGTCCTCCCATTAGTTAGACGTCCCAATAGTTAGACAGCTTATAACAACACTTTAAACGGTTGAGTGCACACTAATCCTTATGCTTGTTACCTCAGACTTTAAAATGGAATAGTCCAGATAAGATCTGACAAACAAAGCAAAGCAGCTTTAAATAGATACTTTAATATTATACTTAACATTTAATGACACTTTACATTTGATAAATTTTATACAGTTTGTAACAACACTTTGTGACAGTTTTTCGTAATGTACACTTTACATTTAATAACTTTTACAGTTTATTTATCCCAGACGAAGCAAGTGTGCTAGGTGACAGAGGTCTGTTGAGTCGCTCTTGAACTTCTGTCTTCAGTTGTCGAAAAAGCCAGCCATAGGTTGTTGCTTGGCGATCTGGCAAAAGGGCGAACTATAGAGGAAAGGTGTTGGGACCAACTCTGGCATGAATGATGTATACTTGATCCCATAAACCTGGACATGCTGTGAAGGTACCATCCATGTAAAGGGTGTCAGCTTCCTGGAGGGCTTGTATCTGTTCTGCAGTGGAGAAAGCCAGGATCTTGTCATCGGCGCCGTAGAAAGGGACGTCAATCTGTTGTCTCTGACCATTTGTCTTCAATGTCTACTGTTGACCGCGACCTGGGTAACGCTGGAATGTAACGCCTGAACAAGAGCAAAGGAACAGTTACACATATGTTACATGAAATATTGATAATGATTTCATTAACTTGAAATGTTTAAGAGCGAAACAAGTTATGTGGGACCTAAAAAAAAGAAGAAGTAAATTCTAACCAAGTCAAAAATACGGTATGATTTTTACCTGTAAAGTGCACTTTTCACGCTCTGAAACGATGGCATCGCTGGGATGTTGGCTTCATTTACTTGAGTGACTTGCTCCTCGTGCTTTTATCGTAAGGCTATACTTCTAATTGATACAGTTAAGGACAGCTGGACATAAGGACTTGAAATCAACGACGATTTTTCGACGCTCTTTAGGCGAGCACCAATTTATCCAATTTAAGTACATTTCTGTCGGATTTTCGTCCAAAAACTATATCCGGAAAAATAACGACGCTTTTAGGCGAGCGCCAATTTATCAAATTTAAGTCGGTTTTTCGTCCAAAAACTATATCCTTAAAAATAACGACGCTTTTAGGCGAGCACCAATTTATCCAATTTAAGTAAATTTCTGTCGGTTTTTTGTCCAAAAACTATATCCGGAAAAATAACGAGTCGACGCTTTCGCGTTTACAGTCTAAGCATCTGAGCCTTTGACTATTGCTGACCTAAAATAAAACTGCGGAGGAGGTAACTTTGCAGCACACCCCATTTTTTCTAATCATCTCCAATCCATAACAAATATAAAACGGGGGCACGGGTGGCCCAGTTGTGTAAGGCGCCGCAATTTGCTGTGCAGAGTTGCGTCCTTTGGGCACGCCAAAAACCTATAATCGTGAGTTCGAATCCCGGTTTGCCCCGATTATGTTTCTAGGTTTGTCAGCACCATATCCGTGCTCTCGGGTTTCACCGAGGTGGTAAACTTCCGAGACCTGCATCACTTCGGACTTTGCTCCCACATTAAGCAGGCACACCGCGATATAACTGGAATGCTGTTAAAAGCGGCGTTAAACCAAACTCACTCACTCACATATATATAACGTCAACACCAGAGAATGACCAGTCAAAATTACAACTTGTGTACGAGACAGATATTGTTGTATAACACATCACTTAGTGACAAGAGAATACATTTTCATCCAGTTGACGGAGCAAGCGGGATACGGAATACATTTTTATATTTTGAGCAAGAGCAAGCAAAATGCCTTCTGGTAGGTGTCTTTCACGGATTTGTGTTTGAAATGAGACAGCTAATGCAACAGTTGAACAAAATGACTCGATGTACCGGTACTGTTCCACTGCCCCACTGGCAGGGACAAATACAATATGTATGATGAGACCATCACGTTTCAGACCCCGCGTTGAGTTATGCTCGAGTTAAACGCCGCTTTAACCAGTATTCCTATGCTTGTCGTAAAAGGCGACTAACGGGATCGGGTGGTCAGGCTCGCTGACTTGGTTGATGCATGTCATCGATCCCAATTGCGTGGATCGATGTTCATGATGTAGCTCACTGGATTGTCTGGTCCAGACTCGATTATTTACAGACCGCCGTCATGTGGCTGGAATATTGCTGGGTGCGGCGTAAAACACCAAACCAAACCAAACCAAACCAAACCAAACCAGGTATATTATCACGGCGTGTGCGTGTGCTTGTGTAGGTGTGCGCCCAAAGGGACCATAATCTGGACGAATCTGATATTCGAACCTGTGACCAAGCTGTGCATAGAACGTTTCCTTGTTTGCCAACTTGATTGAATTATTCAAAAGAAACAAAACAACATTATAAAAAATAATTTTTTAATTTTATTTCCCCTTTCAGCTTCGCACCGACAATGAAAGATGTTATTGTAAATGGACATGGAGTAATCGAATGATAATATTTCTTGGATAAAATGATAAGTTTTCCTTGAGGTTCATCCCAGATTTTTGGCGAGGTGTGAGTCAATCGTGGCAGTGTTAGAGTTGTTGTATCACAATATTTACATCACAGTTGAGTGTTGTTTCCCCGCCAAATGTCATTGGTGGATTGCATCACAGTTGCCTTGGTAACAATGAGGTCATCAAAGTCAGAACGAGGTCCTACATTCACGTGATCTTTAATAATACTAGCATACAACATGTGGACGGAATTTGATTTGGGCATAGAAAATACAGACCACTAACATGGATGATTCTCCTTGAAAACGTTTGGCCCCATAGCACCAAAAAAATTAAATTATGCAAATTAGCTATGTATCTTGTCGGTTTAGCTGAAGCACACCTCTCCTACGTCGATGCCAAATTGTTGGTTTTCTCCACCAATATCGAATAGCAAGACATCGACTAAAGGCAATAGTTCTGATTTGTTGGTCCTAACTTCATATCTGTTTCTATGCCATTGGTTATCTTTAGATGATACCTGAAAGAAAAAAAGGTGAGTGTTAATAAACGTGTAGTCAAAGAGTACAGTATTACTTGCACCAATATAACATCTTTCTTTATTGTAAAGAGATTACACTTGTTACAAAGCCCCACGTATCTATCGAGAGCAGAATGCACGAGGCCTCTTTCTTTAAAAGGCCACACCCATGTAATTATTATTTTAAACATTGCGACCGTCAATCTGCGGTTCCCCTCGTTAATGAATTACTGATTTTAATCTTAAAATGTCAACTTACAGTTTCACAGTCTCCCTCTACGATGTCGATGTATGTTGTCCTCTTGAATCTACCCTCAGCTGAGTCAAGCTCGTCGCCGGCATCGGTGATGAAGCGGGTGCCGTAGCTGTGGGAGTTGAGGCAGTGGTATGTTACTCCCTGGCGGGCGCTCTGGGAGTCGAACTGGAGAACCTTCATCTGCTTGACGTCGATGTCGTACTTGAACTGTGGGCGAATAAGGATTTAACACTGTAGCCAATGATCAATACATTTGTAGTTTCCGACCAGATTCATTATAAGCAATACAACATGTCATAGGAAAAAAGGAAGACATATCGACAACAGGGTCCACGCTATAGGGATACGATGGTACAACTGAACAAAGAAGACTACTTTGAGAGTACATTAACTGTTTCTCTGTTATAGATTAGAAGCAGGTGCGACGTACCTCCTTCATCTTGCCGAAGACATCGGACATGAAGTATTGGCCACTGGTGCTGTCCTTTGTCCAGCGATCACGACGGTACTGAAATAGGAACATAACAAATGACTCTCAAGAACAGATTTCAATGTCTGGTATAGCGTCTTCTAAATTTAGGGCAGTAACACATTGTACTCATGACTACTAAACTTACACATCAAGCTATTTCAGAAAATACCTTCAAATGGTTTTGCGAAATTTGAACTGACAAGTTCTTGTGGCCTTTACCTACCTCAGTTATCTTGGGCTTGATGCAAGTCTCAAGGGTCTCCATTCTACAGAATACCCTCAGGGCGTCAAGAGCAGAGTCGCCATTAGGATCGATCCAGTACTCGCCTACATGAAGAAATACACTGATTAAAAGTACGTTGACATCTTGTCATGTTGCTAAAACTACTAACAGCAACAGTCAGTATTTTCTTAACTTAATTAATTATGTTTATGTCAAAATAAATGCACTCGATATTTGAATGTTGGAATGATACAAGTAAACAAAGAAATCTCGTCTCCACAACTAAACTTTACACATGACTGCAATGTATTTAACTGACCATCCTTGAAGTCGGGGTTGCTGAGCTTGATGTCCCTGCAGTTCTTGCCTGGTGAAGTACGGCTGCCGAGTCTGGAGTGTCCTACACGGACGATGGCCTCCCTGACTCTGTTGAGGTTCTCGTACACGGCCATACCGCCCTGCAGGACACACAGTGACAGTGATGGAACCGGGAAACTTCATATTGTCATGATGTAGGTCGCAACAACATTTCAGGTATAACATGTACATAGTTTAGTGAGAGAGTCTTTTAAACTGCAGTCAGTATAGATCCATTTAAACCACGGTGTTTTTTAAGCATCGTTTTATTTACATAAATGAGTTATTTGTAAAGCCGTTTGGTTTACTTTCCCTGTCAAGGTTTCGATAACGCGTTTGTTCAGTTATTATATGTTCTGGAGGCTGTAGTATATTCATCACTTATTGTGAAAAACTTACCTCTGGCTCATCATACTGAAAAGAAAAGACAGGATTGTATTAGATATTGACATTCATCATATTTATTTTTATAAATACTTATAACGGTTTTACACAGCTTTTGGAATTATCTCCTTCCAACGCCACATGGCTGAAACGCATCATAGTGAAATCAATGTGCTAATAATTATAAAGATCATAATTTGTTTACGGAGATCTTATTAAAAACTACCCTTTAATCGCACCGATCTCTATTGTAACAGCGCTAACGATGACTCACTTGGTATGGGTCTGGTCCCTTGTTCCAGCTTGGCTGAGGTGAATATACTGGTCCGTAGCCCTGGAATTATGCAAGTATGTAACAGTTATGATTCGCTCTGTCAGGATACGTAATATGGGGGTGGGGAAAAAGATTTAACGCTTAAGAGTACACATTCGAAAGAAAACTATTCCAATTACAAATCAAATTCATTATAATACTATATGCAACAAGAAAGCAAAACGTTTGTCTCGTTTAAGACAAGTTTCACGGGTTACTAGAGTAATATTGGGTTAGCTACCTTAAGCTACCTTTTTACAATATTCCTACAATGAATATATAATATGTAAACTCAAGAGAATAATCAGTCACGGTTATCCGAGAAACAGATTCCACTTTGCGTTAATATATGAATTGATCACTGAAAATCAGTGATGACTCAAGGTGTTCACGAAAAGCGTAAGCATATCACGTTAACACATTTTATACACGAGGGAATCGAACCCGACCGGGTATTAGGCGGTACGAGCGTTAGCTTTAACCAATAGGCTACCCGTCGTAGCTTCTTACAGAATGTAAATCTACATTATATGTGTACTCACGGGGGGTCCAGGAGGTCCAGGGGGTCCAGAAGGTCCGGATGGTCCCTGTAATATTACAGTTTACGTTGAAAATACTAAATCCAATTATCATTAGTTCCAATGCATAACATTAGCATTTCAGTTATATCAATAGATTAAATCTTGTACTTAGTTTTCTACTACAGGGTACATGCTTATAGTTGAATATGATCGCATGAGTCTCATCTCGTTAACGCGTTGTCAACTTACACTGAGTCCGTCATCACCAGAAGGTCCACGGGCACCCTGAAATCAGACGAAGGACACATATAAAGAACAATGTAGAAGAAAAGGTTGGACACCATTTAGTTTCATAACATTAGGAAATGGATTTACGTTTTCTATCAAAATCATTATTTTAAAGGTTCTATAGTTTCAGAATGATTCATCTGAAACTCCAATCCTGTGACAGAACCATAACGTGGGAAGGTGTTCGGGATAAACGCTGGCAGTCACAAAGAGTCTAGTGATGAAAAAAGCCATGTTGTCATGAATTTCCGGGTTGGTACGTATTGTACTCACAGAAGGTCCGGCAGGTCCTTGTTGTCCTGGGCTTCCACTACGTCCTGGACGTCCGCGGCTTCCAGACTTTCCCTGAAACAGCATCAACATCATCAACATCTTGTAATCGAGAATAACAGACAGAACTTACAATATCCATCTTCTTTCCACTGTAACAGCTGTTAGATAATAACTTAAAACGTCGCGATATCTGACGAAACCGACCCCACTGGGCGTTAAAGTAAAAAAAGTGATGAAAAATTAAAAAATGGATGACTGAAAATCAGTGACCAGCGATAAGACAAATGAAACGATTTTCTAAATATTCCATATGAATCTCATAACATACATTTCTTTTTTATTCCTTGTGTTTCACTCAATCTGCATTGACTATACGTGGCGAATGCTGTATGTTTTATGCTTACCAATTCAAAGATCTATCACTGTAAAATATCTTTCCTTCAGTAATGGTTGCTGTTTTAGAGGGAAGACGTATTCACAGTGTAATGTATACGCCGTGCGGTACACGAGGCATGTTACTTACATTTTGACCAGCAACTCCGGGAGGTCCGGGTGGGCCGGGGTCTCCATTGCTTCCCTAAAATAAGACATTTAAAGCATCAAAATATAAAGTTAAAATTATGAGTTTTTATGCAAACATAAAACAATGAAAAAAATGATATGTGTATCCCAAAGAGATCATGCATTAATAACATGTAATTTGGCTGATGTTGAAAAACGTTAGAATTAATTCAAAGTTATACTTGGTAAAGCATTGATTGTGGAAATGGTTTTGTGACTTATGATTACATATCATAATCAGCTGATTAGCCTTTACTTTCAACAGTAGTGTCTACTCACAAGAGGTCCGGGAGGTCCTTGGGGTCCAGGCATACCTGGCCAGCCCTTGTCTCCCTGTAAGGTACAATGGAAGTTTGAGCGTAACATTCTTGTCGACATTCGACATTATTAATAGTGCATGAGGATACACTGCAGTGGCTAATATAAATTAACATATTAAAATCATGTGACAATATATGAACATTTTTGGAAATGCAGAAAGAATCACTTTGTGGTACAACGTGTGTGACAAAATATCAGGCTCATGATTCCCTGACATTACTTTACATTACTTTACATTACTTTACATTACTTTACATGATTCCCTGCCATAAATGCCATCACATTACCTTAGCTCCATCCCATCCAGACTCTCCCTTATCTCCAGCAGCACCACGGGCACCCTGTAAGGATGTAATAGGCCATTGCAGAGTATTGAAGAATGGCAAATAGTTAAATACAGTAATTCACTTTAACACACCGACAAACATCATGTTGATTAAAATATGTGCCGGAATTACACGGCAAATCGGTAAAACAATTTGGATTAGCCACAAATTCCATTATGTTCCATATGCAATTCTGTGTATCAAAATATATGAACACAACCAAATGATAATATAAATATATGCAGTATAAAAAAATATGTATTATCAGTAGTGTGCTATTTGAACTGATTAACACACCTCATTGCCATGTTATTTAAGAGTTCTTTTGAAAGGATGCGATAGCATGCATATGCCAGATACTTACAGCAGGTCCACGTTGTCCGGTTAAACCAGAAGGTCCACTGGGGCCAAGCTCTCCCTGAAAACAAATATTATGCATAAAATGGATTGTATATTTTATGTCTACTCTTGAAAAGGACGGATTTGATCAGTTATATGTGTTAAACTATGCAAAACGATCAGTGAAACTATATGTCTCGAAACAAAACCATGAGGGATTTTGTACATCAGGATTTTATGTACTTTAGAAGGTACAAACATTCAGCATATAAAACTCACCCTCTCGCCGCGTTCTCCAGAAGGTCCGGGGGGTCCTGAGTTTCCTGGTGCGCCCTAGAATTCAAACAGTCTAATATAATAGGGTCATCAAATATTTGAAACACATCATCATTTGACAAATTAATGTATTATTTTTTAACCTTTCGCTTTTGAGACAGGATAATTGTTTTGTCAATACAAGATCACACGTGGCATATTGCTGCAACTCACAACGGGTCCATTGAGGCCTGGTGGTCCACTGGCTCCAGCAGGTCCACGACCTCCCTTTGATCCTGAGCGTCCAACAGGTCCAAGTGGTCCATCCTTGCCTGGGGATCCCTGCGATAGAGGATCGTGATTCATTTAGGGCAGGTTGTTTAAATTACAAAGACTTTTATTACATGATAATAATTAGATTCACAATACCGATCAGAATGAAGATGAACAATTGGTGTCAACTGTATGGAAACAAGCATGATGTAGGTACCGTATTCCCTGTTTAAAACGTAACACTATATTCAGGTGAGGTGAGGTGAAATAGTGCTAGCCAACTGAGATACCATGACGCATGAATACCCCACTCAGACACAGTATACTCTCTCCGAGGTGACCAGTTCTTGTTTGAGCCCCAAAATGCCGTGCTTCAGGCAGAGTAACAAGAAATACAATATTTTAATGCCTTTTGGTATAACGGGGCCGGGGATCGAACCCCCGACTTTCTGCTCTCCGGGCGGACGCTCTACCACTAGACTACCGAGGTGGTCCATATATTCAGGAGATATTTTAGCATTAAAACCAATTTGATATGTCACTTTATGTATTGAAGGTAAATATCAGGGTACAATGATATAATCCTTACGGGTTGTCCAGTCTCTCCTGGGTAGCCAGCAGGTCCGGTAGGTCCTGGAGGTCCGGCTTGTCCTGGGGCACCGTCATTTCCATTGTCTCCACGAAGTCCGGGCTCTCCCTGCAAAAGGTTTTAGTGAGTCCTTGTGAATGCGAAATATATTTATGATGTCTTGTAATTAAGTTCACTTTGGGTAAAACATTCATGATAATGACAATTAAAAGGTCATTAAGTAAATACCATATTACTGTACATTGTAGATTAAATGACAAAGAACTCACAGCAGATCCTGGGGGTCCAGCAGCACCAGCCTCTCCCTGAGAACCTGGGAATCCGTTGGCACCGCGTTCTCCTTGGGGTCCTACTGGTCCGGGAGGTCCAGATGGACCCTGTATCAAATCAATACGCCCATTCAATATATGGCATACCAGTCAATCAAAACTTTTGTTTAAAGCTGTTCAATTTCAACAAAGAAATTTGTCATATGGTACAATTGGACAATTAATGTACAAATATATGAGGCCCATCGCCCTGACATGTGGTTATCGAACATCGAAGGTAGTATTCTTACGTTGAGTCCTGAAGATCCTCTCTCTCCTTGGGCACCATCCAGACCAGGCATTCCAGGAGCGCCAGGCTCACCGGAACGTCCGGGGGGTCCAGTCTCACCACGCTCTCCCTGGATAGTAGAGAACGGTTCCAGTGAACAAAATACATCTCACCATAAGGTAATTTTTAATGCAAACATTTTCAGCTTTCAGCTAGTTTCAGCTTTTGCGATTTCAATAGTGGTCTTATTAAATTTCAGCATTGTGGAAACAAGTATCAAACACGATTCATTTCCAAAGGAAAACACATACTCCGTCTCCGGACAGTCCAGTAGCTCCTGAGGGTCCGGGGGGTCCTTGAGCGCCAGGGGAGCCAGGGGGTCCAGCACGTCCTGGGTCTCCTGGGGTACCAGAGTTGCCGGGAATACCACCAGATCCACGGCCGCCCTTCCTGCCCTCGCGTCCTTCGTTTCCCTGGAAATTATGAACATCATTGTAAAGTTACAATTCCTAGGCTGAAAATTCCGATGCAACGAGAAGGATGTAGCTTCGAAGTCCTGCCACATGAGCTAGGTCAGATGTCCGAACATTTAGAAATATGCACTTTTGCATTGTGAAGTTAGTACCTTTATCTATAATACTTTTTTTCCAAATCAACTTATGAGATGTTTAGCAGCTGGAAAGGCACCACGATGTGGTACATGTGTAAACCTACTCAGCAGGTTTAGTTAATAAATCATGAGCAACAGTAACAGCTACTTTTACCAACATCGAACGGAGAATCTCAATAAAAATAAACACAAGTGAACGTACTGGTGCTCCGATTGGTCCAGCCTCGCCTGGATATCCACGTGCTCCGGTGTCGCCCTTAAATCAAGAACATGTATTACGGTTTAGTTTTACTGAAATAGATAGTGGTTTTATTGTTATTCCCCTTTCCAGATTACTCTATCAATAACCAAACAAACATCTGTGCAAATGAGTGAAAAAACACCTGTAAGCTGTGTGACCACTATGCAATATTGTCCTTATAATATGCATGTAGATATTTTTTGACCTCTCACCTTAGCACCATCATTTCCATCGGATCCTGTTTGACCCATCTCTCCTGTAGGTCCCTGAATAAGAATAAGTGAATCGTGATATTTATGTGTATGTAACTGGATCTAGCTGTACTGTCACAAACATACCAAATAATGCCATAATTACTAAATACTAGGTCAGAGTACTCAATGATAACATTAATGCTATTATTTGTACTACGAATTCATCAAGCATAAATTACATATCACATCGATTATGGTTTAATTCCTAGATAAACAAAATCAACATCAGATATTTAAATCAACGATATCAAAAATGCATAATGATACTGAAGAGTTATATGACTATTAATTACATACTACAGATATGGTGCATTCAATCTTTATAAACAAATGATAGCAAACAATCTGACGAAATGAAACATTCTGAAGATAATTAGATTTAATTCAAATGTAGATAACACATTACAGATACGGTGGTTTAAGGAGGGTCCACTAGATCATCACTCACTGAAAGACCAGTTGGTCCCTGTGGTCCCTGGGCTCCTGAGGGTCCTCTCTGTCCAGATGAACCTGGTGGACCGGGCTCACCAGCGGGTCCAGATTCTCCGCGGTCTCCCTTGGCAGAGACAAGTCCTGAAGGTCCGGGTTGACCGGGGGATCCTGGGGCTCCAGCCTCGCCGGGGCGTCCAGCCTCTCCATCCTGTCCACGCTCACCAGTCAGACCCTACCCAGGGAAGAAATCAATGTAACTCCTGGACTCTATTAGGGAGATCAATTCTGACATCTTCTTGTAGCATCATAGTACATTATTTCTATGTCTTCTAATTATTGATGTTTGGTACACAAATGTTATAAATTATTTTCGTTGCCATATGATTGTCAATGTGACGTTAAATATGATATAATTCACACACTCTTAACTTGGATGTGTTAAAAACAAACCCTGTTTCCTTGAGCTCCGGGGCGTCCTAGTGGGCCTCTCTCGCCAGGCATACCCTGAAACAGACCACGAGATGATGAGATTCATAGCCACCAGCAGTACGATCATCAACGTTAAACTTACAATAAGGTCACCTCTATATCAATCTTTTCTTAAGAGAAAGAGTGAAAGGATGGTGTCTGATATTTGGTTTCATAATGAGAAAACACATGGATGCAATTTTGAAAAAACAAAGTCCACTCACGATAAGTCCCTGTGCGCCAGCATCTCCTCTTGCTCCGGCGGGTCCGGGTGGTCCCTGAAACAAAAGCAATCGGAATTAGCCTACATGACTTACATACAATTATAATTCTATAATGTTATTTCATGTCAGCCATAGGCGATCGAGATAGAAGAGTGGGTAAGTTCGTGAGTAGGGTTCTATCCTGCTTTTAGGAATATCCCAGCCATATCAGGACCGACTTCACACATTGTATCCATGATGGAATTCGAACCCGTCTTCGTGCTATGGGCATGTGTTGTGCGGATTAAGCGCCATACAATTATCACTGATTATGACAACATAGTCTCAGCACACACTGTATCGTGATATATTATTCAAATGAAAATTGCAACGAACAGCAAGAACTATATATATACATTGTTCACGTATCCATAATTGAAATGGTTTTAAAAGGGTGAAAAACGTCATTCACTGTGGATTACTTACAGCTTGTCCGACTTCTCCAGATGGTCCACCTGGTCCTCTCTCTCCTGGGGCACCACGTGATCCAGAAACGCCAACCTCTCCGGGGGCACCGCGCTCACCCTGGGAAAAAGAAACAGCGACCTCAAATATGTGTACAGTAAATTACGGTTATAACGAACTCAAAGGGACTACTAATTTTAGTTCGTTATAACCGTAGTTAGTTATAAGTAAATATACAGCATGACTACAGCAAGTAGTCGGGGCCAAAAAGTAAGTTCGTTATATCCGTCAGTTCGTTATAAGCGTGTTCGTTATAACCGTAGTTTACTGTATATGTATTAATAATCGCTTGTGTGAAGTGACAATGATATGTAAATGTATGTCCTGGTATTTTGTCACTCTCTATAAAAATATCACGAATCAATAAAATTGAACAGGACTTCAGATGAACCTTCTCAAGAGATTTACTGTTACGTCGTATCATTTTCTGTCCGAGTGTTCATAAGGCTCCACACATCATTGCATTATCCTGATGTTCTCTCAAGAATGGTGCCGTATCATATCATGCTTTCCCCTCATGGTATACAGTTGAGAATGTTGCTTACTCTCTCTCCGCTTGCGCCAGGCTCTCCGGGGATTCCACTCTCACCAATAGGTCCTGGGCGTCCAGCTTCACCGGGGGGTCCGGCGGGGCCGGGGAGACCCTGGAATCCTTGCTCACCAGGACGACCGGCTGCTCCAATCTCTCCTTCAGCGCCCTGGCATATATATTCACGCATTGTGAAATGATCCATTGTGGAATATCACACCATTCGTACATATAAATACAACTTTTGTATGTGATAACTGATTACTAATAATTGCGCATATACATCTTCATAAGATTATTTGTATTTAACAACAATCAACGAAATCAGTTCGAGGAAGAACGTACGGGTGATCCTGGGGGTCCCTCAAGGCCAGCTTCTCCGGCGGGTCCTCTCTCTCCACGGGGTCCTACTGCTCCGGGTCGGCCAACATCGCCATCCTTTCCTGAAGGACCCTGGTAAGCATGAAAATAACGTAAACTACACTGTCACCATGGATAAATCGTACAACATCAGCTTGACTCATCAAACTCATAGTACTTGTTTCAACCCTAAGGCAGCGAGCTCAGTACTACCATTCGGATTCAAACACAATATTACTTCCCTCAGTTTATAATGAGAGCAAAACTGTCAGTTCCATCAGATAAATAATGCATTTACATCATCTTAAGGACGTACGTCAACTTGTAAAGAATACGTACAGTATCTCCCTTATTTCCAGATGGGCCCTGAAGACCTGGTGGTCCCTGGATGCCCTGGGGTCCCTGTTCTCCTGGGTTACCATCAACTCCGGGGTTGCCCTGAAGCAAGTAAGTTCATATGCAAATCACTCTTTCAGATATTTTAATGGCACTGATTGAGAAAAGTCAACTGTCATTTTTAATGTAATGAAGACAAAATAGTAATAAAAATAGTAGACAGCATTATTGAACATTTACCATCTACACAGACTTAACGTTACTCCTATCATTACGGTAGTTGAGCTTTTTTGCGGTGATAAATGTTATTTCCAAATTCCAATGGCGTTTATTTTGAGCGTTTTGACCCATGTAGCCAATGACAGTTGTACTCACAGCGGGTCCACGCTCACCAGGGGCACCGTCGGCACCAGGGAATCCTGGGGCACCCTGTATGGAAGATAACATCGTAAATCAATACAAGATAATGCAAGAATGTGATCCTTTATATGTTTTAATCAGTAGCTAACTTTGGTACGCGCTGCACAGCGTAAATGGCGCGTACCCGTAGCGGTAGTCGATCTCCAAGATACTGGAGAATAAATTAAGAAATGAATTCAACTCAAGTCTGGAATGATTTGGCAAATCTAGATTGTCTCAGCTCTAGGAATTAAGCATTGTTCTGAGCTCCATTTGGATTTAATTTTACAATTTGAAGTTATGTATTTTTAACAAAATAACTTTATTTCTGGAATTAAATTTTAGTCTAGGATGCATTACTCCTTAAAGGAAACAGTCTAGTGAATACGTAAGTCTTCAGTATTCAGTACGATTTACTATAGGAAATACATACCCTAAATGATCCGTGATCTTTCACTAAACTTTTATCTCTTGTCATAATGGCGTGATACCATGCAGCGTTACCCTCATAGGAAAAGTTGTTTAAACGGAATGTTACTCACACGAGCTCCGGTCTGTCCAGCGCTTCCGGGGGCTCCAGCGACACCCTGCAATAGGCAGAAACATCGTCACATTCTTACAAACACGTGGTCCCTTGTGTAGCTGTTCATACCACAACATGCTATGTTTCAGGGATCAATTAGAGGGTTTGGTAACTATTACATTATATGTAATGTAATTCGAAACTGTAGCTGTAGCTATGACAAAAACATTGCAGTGGACATACCATCGAGAAAGGAAGTGTCTATGATAATAAGGGAGTGAGTTGGGTTTAATCCAGCTTTTAACAGCATCCAGTTATCAAGGCGTGTGTGGAAGGAAAGCCCGATGTGATGCAGGTCTTAGACGTTTACCACTTCGGTCAGACCCACGACCACGGTAATGGTGCTGTCAAACCTAGAAACATAATCGGGGTGAACCGGGATTCGAACCCACAATCATGGGTTTCTTTCGTGCTCAAGGGACGCAACACGGCAGAGCGAATTGCGGCGCCTTGGACGACTGGGCCACCCGTGCCCACCTCTATGATAATGTCAATGAGTTTCTGTGATTAGTGTCAAAGGGTGTCTATGATAGTTTATATGTGGCTGTAGAGTGTACCATGTTATGGGATACAAGATGGTATATTATGTAATACTTACTTGTTGTCCAGCCTCTCCGCGTTCTCCCTGAAGACCACGTGCTCCATCCTTTCCAGCTACTCCTGCAGAACCGGGGCGTCCAGACATTCCGGGAGTTCCGGGAAGTCCCTAAAAAGGTCACCAATCAACATTTATGAGCTGAAAATCCTCAAAATAAATTTGACTTTTAGCAAAACCACTTACATTGTAACAACTATTTGAGGAGGTTTTAATCATGTATATATATTTAAAGCGTGATAATCATAATAATCAATAGATAATTATGAACACCAGGTGACAATGGTGAAGTGAAGGGTAAAAATACCAATTACGGACATCAATAACATAACGATATTACAAATTACAATAGTAAACCCTGAGCAGGTGTAATGGAACAAGTGCTCACCCTTTCACCGTTAGGTCCGGGTGGTCCGGGTGGTCCTCCTGCTCCTAGGGGTCCCTGCAGGAGAGAAACATGTCATAAATTGTTAAAAGCACGGAATAATGTATTAAGGAAATGCGTGGCTTTATGTCATTAAGTGACGTAATTAAAAGACAGACGACCAAGACTGCATTATTCAACTGTAGGTTTCACTCCTCTCAAGCTCTATTTTTTAAATTCCTTTCAGTATATAGTAATACATGACATATAAACATACCAACCAATTATCTGTCTCACATTGTTCCCTTATGTGCAAACTATAATTTAAGTACATTACTATGTAGTGACGTAATTAAAAGACAGACGACCAAGACTGCATTATTCACCTTAGGTTTCACCCCTTTGTCAGTGACTGCTCAGATGAAAGTGATATATACTGTCTGTGGCGGTAGGTGAGGGTTTCTAAAGTTTTTTTACCTGAATTGCATTTGAAATTCCCAACTTTTTTATAAATTCAAACTTTTGTTGTGAAAAACTGAGGATGATTTATAAAACGCCTGCAACATTCTGTATACTATGCATACAAAAAACATGACGTTGTAAACTCCACTTAAATGATTTGTATTATTGGCATTGTATAACTTGTGTATGGACAAAAGGCCTTCACACAAGTAAATTGTGTTTGGCTTGGACTTCTTACCCTCTTTCCCTCCTGACCAGGAAGTCCAGGCAGACCTCTCTCTCCTTGTGCACCGGATTGACCAGCAGCTCCAACCTCTCCCTGGCTACCGGGGCTTCCGTCACGTCCCTATTGAGATAGATACCAAAGATGTACATGATGGTTGTAAAACGACAGGGTATTCAGTTGAACACCAAATAAGTTTGACAATAAATCAATCCACGGTTGTTTAAATGCATATTGTACACATCGAATTAACTGGTGTTGAGATTGTAACGAAGAACTCAAAACACAGACCTGATCTCCTTTGTTTCCAGCAGCTCCTTGGGCTCCAGCGGCTCCGGGGGGTCCCTGGGGGCCAGGGAAGCCAGGAGAACCGGGGCCACCAGCGGGTCCCTGCAGGTAATAAAAAATGTATGTACGATAGGCTGATCCGACCAGAAAAAAATATTCAAAATAACAAAGATTTGTAAAACAAATTCGAGTCACAATCTTCAGTGTAATTGTCAGTTTACAAGCAAAGAGAAAACTATTGAACATTTTCCCTTTCTAAAAAGACATATCATAAGTGATTTTCCCAACTCACCATCTCACCCTTAGTACCAGGGTTGCCGTCATCACCAGAAGAGCCAGGCCTTCCAGGCTGACCAGGTTGACCGGCGGCGCCATTGTTTCCTGGGGCACCGGATGATCCCATTGGGCCACGATCTCCAGACTGACCAGCATCTCCCTACAAAGCACAGCACGTCAGTTATTTTGTTGGATGCATCGTCACATTGTCATGACAAGATGTCTGTCTCATAGGCCCCTTACCTTATACCAATAACGTTAATGTATACAGCTCTCAATACACGTTATTCCGTTATTCAAGTTAATTTTGAAAAACCTTCACAAAATTTCAACGGAACGACCGAATTGATCCTTATGTCTGCCTTAAACTTATTTTTTCAGGAAATATATTTTACCTTAGCTCCAGATGATCCAGGGAATCCAGGAGGTCCGGGGGGTCCAATAGGTCCTGCAGATCCAGAGTTACCAGCCATACCGTCCTCTCCACGGATACCCTGCAGAACAAATACGCAGTCGTCAGCCATTTGGTATTCTTGTATCAATCATGGCCAAAAACGGGAAAACACCATAAAATATTCAAAGGCTAATCATGCTGATTAGAGTTTTTATACTAAAATTATGATGTTTATAAAACGAGAAGGTACTTACGGGGGATCCGGGGCTTCCATCACGACCTCTCTCTCCGGGGGAACCACGGGGTCCCTGGGGTCCAGAAGATCCTGGGGGTCCACCTGCACCGGTTATACCCTGATAACAAGAAATACAAACGTTAGTGTATGGAAAAAACAATAAAATGATCTTCTCTATTCATTTCAATTTACGTGGCACAGCAAACGGTACACTGTATGTCATACATATGTGATAATGTTTCTTTGGACTTAAACGGAATAGACCAGGAATATCTACATGTCTACATATCTACACATGAACAATGAAGTTGAATACGTACTTTGTCTCCTTGCTTTCCAGCCTCTCCGTCACGACCGGGGCGACCAGAAGGTCCCTGAAACACACACCACACAAGTTAGTAAATGTATTAGTGATACTTTGCACGGCGGCGTTAATAACTGAAGTAGAAACACATACATTTTCTAATCATCTTCAAAAAGAGTATTGTAATTACTGTCAAGTGTACAATAGCTGTAGTTGATGTTACATCACATCCATATATCAACCCACCCTGTGTCCTTTGGGCCCAGGCATTCCTGGCATTCCTGGGCGTCCAGATGATCCCTACAGTAGAGAGGATGCATGAGAAGGTCATGAAATGAAAATAACATCTTTAATATCAACCATATTGGATTACTTTGTGTCATGAACAACAAAATGGGTTTGTTTACTGGGTAAATCTAGCGTAATTTGGTATAATGTAAATCATATTAATACGTTGCAATGATCATATGTGCTTCTCTTATAAAAGAAAAGATTTTGTTGTACTTGGTAAAATCTAACGCAAATTGGTATCAGGTAAATTATATAAATACGTTGCAATGATCATATGCGCTTTTTTATATAAGAAAGCTATTAGTTGTCATCTAGTATAAATGGGGGTCGGGTAGCTCGCATAATAGTTCAGTTAATCATGTGTTCGTAAGGTAAAGTCGTCAAGCTTACAGAAAAATCCTATATTAGTTTCATCAATCAACACTTACAGGTGATCCAAGGGGTCCTGAGGGACCTGGGTCTCCAGGCATACCCTCCTCGCCCTGATTCAGAGAGAAACAATGTATAAATTGGCAGCATGAAATACAGGAAAACGCAACAACGAGTACGTATCACAAACGAGTAGATAGACACAAATGTACGAAATATATGATTTGACATTCATATTAACAGTGTTTGAGATAGATCATATAATGTTAAAACTTGTGTTGAGTGAGGTATAAACATTTGGTTTATTATCTGTTATAACGTCACGGTTTCGTTCGCGTCGTTATCATGGTGGTTCTGGTTATCTCCAGTTATGAGAGGGTGACATGTCGGGAAGCCACTCACATCAAGACCAGCGGAGCCGGGGGGTCCAGCGAAACCACGTTGACCAGTGGAACCCTGAAATGTGACAAATCGTAATCAATAAACAATTGTCGTACTCAGACATCACACAGGATAGTTTAACTGATAGATCATGAAATCCTTGTGTTATTTGACCTTATGATTTAATAGCTACTACATATATGATATACATAGTTGCTTTAACGGTGGGTATGAATTGCATGGAGATGTTATATGACAGTTGATCTGTGCCGCTGGACTACGGTGACATCCAATCAGACAGGTCCTACTGTGGCCACCTGATCTTCATTTTAGAACAGACTTGTAGTATTCGAGACCTACATTGATCCAGGATTCGCGTGTTAAATAAAAGTTGCATCAGCATCACTAGACTACTTACGGGTGGGCCTGGGTCGCCAGACTCTCCGCGCATTCCTTGGAATCCCTGGGGTCCCTGAAGCAGAAAACAGAGCAGTCACTATCTTTACTTTCATCACAAACAATAAGTATTTATTCAGAATGATTTATTATAGTCTTTTACAGACTTTTAGTCATTTTATATTGACATAATTTATTGCAAATTCTACATAAAAGCTTGATCCTCTTTTCATGTGTGAAGTGTGAGAATGTATATAGACTGAAGTGACGAGTCATCTAAAGCTGCTTACAGATTGACCGGGGGGTCCGGGGGGTCCCCGTGGGCCTGGAGCACCCTGAAATGGAGAGTTACCACAGTTATGTTCATGAACACCAAATGCTAGTTTACAAATAGGACAACGAAGCCATAACAACCAACCTCATTCTCGTACAAAATAGAAACATGCTTATTGTAGATTTTGTGTATTTCAAACACAGCCTCGCTTCTATCTGTCTTCGTACTAATATCGCTGATGCAGTAATATCGTATTCTTAACGTACGACATCATTAAGACACCCGGTTTCATTACTATTTAATACACAGAAACACATGTTTGTCAGGCTGAGTCGTACAATGGACTCTTGGACAATGGAAATTGCTTATGAGTATGGAAATGGCTTCGTCAGTTGAAAGGGCTTCCGTGTAATGATTTCTAGCATGCTTCACTTACTGGTGAGTAGTACTGTGGAGAGTAGGCGGGTCCGGCCTTGACATTGCCTTGTGTGTTCTGGGCCTGTAATATTGTAGTGAAAATAAACACGTTGATAACAATTGTATCACATCAGCCTCTAACGGCGGTAACACTGTAAGAAACAGTAAACTATGTTACATTGTTAAAATTTCGTTTTGCACATATTTATGGATTGTGTCCATATCAATCAAATATCAGCTAAAGAACATCTTATTCCATCTTATTATCTCAAAGTATCAACGTTCGTTTATCAATCCTACTAAATTAGCTTCCTAATGAATACTATCGTCTGACGACATCATGCATTAGTGGTAACGTTAAAACATCGCCGTTACGTTGAGCTATATCTACACTATATCAGTTTTACTCATTATGTCACTCGGTGTTTTGTTCACCAAGTTAATACGGCATCTACAGAACTCAACAGAGTTCTAAGGAACTCACGATCATTCATGAAGCAATACAAATAAGCAGATAACAGATTATGATTTACAGGGTTTCGTTTGCGGGAGAACAACACAAAAGCAAAGACATTACGAATGTGCAGTACATTACGAATACATTACATAATCTACATCGTTATGTTGAACTGACATACAATGGGATGGATAGATGTGTAGTTTTATCTACATCAATATGATTTACTGACATACAATGTGTGATGGATGCATGTGCAGTTATGATACCTACGTGTTTGTTCTTGGATAAAAGATAGCATTACAGGACTTTGGAAATATGCAAACCACTGAACATCTTTTTATTCATAGAAGAGACACGTAGGTTTCTTTAAAGGTAATTCGTGTCACTAGAACTTATGTGTACAAATACCGTGCGTTACAGTCAGAGAAATAATGTTCACAAAACGTGATCCAAGGAGCGGGTTAATGGTAACTGTTTTCTTGCCGGATCAATGCGTCTACCACAACTAAACTAAACAGAAAAAGCAGGCATGTGGTGGGCATATTGGTCAAGTAAGATGCGAGTGACCACGTCTGACCATGGCTCTTTGGGCCACGTTTCGATGTTGACTGTTCTAGTGACACGGATGAAAGAGTGTGGAGTAGAACTCACAGTGCGGCGTCTGCCGCCACCACCACTACTTCTAGAACGACCACTGGAAGTACTGTAGGAGCGGCTGCTGCCTCTAGAGGAAGACGACCTACTGGAACTGGAACTGGAACGAGTCCGACTACCTGACGCTCCAGATGTGCTATATGACCGTGATCCACTAGATCCACTAGACCTGCTACCGGACGAGCCTGCTGTACCTCTAGTACCACTAGCGCCACCACCTGTACCACTAGCCCCACTACCGCCAGACCCTGATGAACCACGCCTGCCAGAAGAGCCACCCCTTGAACTACTACCTGTACCTCCCGTGCCGGATCTTGAACCAATATTCAAAGCTTTATCGGAAACACTAGAACCTGAGCTTGAGCCACTAGTTCTTGAGCCACCAGTTCTTGTTCCACTAGAGCCACCTGTCCCACTCCCAGAACCAAATGTGAAGCCCCCTCCTGTTTTTCCTCCTGTACTACCCGTTCCACCTGTTCCGCTACCACTGCCTGACCCAAAACTGAAACTAGAACCACCAGTGCCACCTGTACCACCTGTACCACGTGTACCACTTGTACCACCAGTGCCACCTGTACCACGTGTACCACCTGTACCACCTGTACCACCTGTTCCACCTGTACCACGTGTACCACCGGTTCCACCTGTACCACGTGTACCACCGGTTCCACCCCCTGTACCAAAACTGAAACTGCTTCCTGTTTTTCCACCTGTACCACCTGTACCACCTGTACCACCTGTTCCACGTGTACCACCGGTTCCACCCCCTGTACCAAAACTGAAACTGCTTCCTGTTTTTCCACCTGTACCACCTGTTCCACCTGTTCCACCTGTTCCACCTGTACCACGTGTACCACCTGTTCCACCTGTACCACGTGTACCACCGGTTCCACCCCCTGTACCAAAACTGAAACTGCTTCCTGTTTTTCCACCTGTACCACCTGTACCACCTGTTCCACCTGTTCCACCTGTACCACCGGTTCCACCCCCTGTACCAAAACTGAAACTGCTTCCTGTTTTTCCGCCTGTACCACCTGTACCACCTGTACCACCTGTACCACCGGTTCCACCCCCTGTACCAAAACTGAAACTGCTTCCTGTTTTTCCGCCTGTACCACCTGTACCACCTGTTCCACCTGTACCACGTGTACCTCCGGTTCCACCCCCTGTACCAAAACTGAAACTGCTTCCTGTTTTTCCACCTGTTCCACCTGTACCACCTGTACCACCTGTACCACGTGTACCACCGGTTCCACCCCCTGTACCAAAACTGAAACTGCTTCCTGTTTTGCCCCCGGTCCCTCTTGTACCGCCTGTACCGCCTGTACCACCAGTACGTTTCCCTCCAGCACCACCACCGGCACCGCCACCGCCACCAGCACCGCCACCAGCACCGCCACCAGTTCCGAAACTAAAACTACTTCCTGTCCCACCACCTCTACGTTTACCACCGGCACCACCACCGGCACCGCCACCGCCACCAGCACCGCCACCAGCACCGCCACCAGCACCGCCACCAGCACCGCCACCAGTTCCGAAACTAAAACTACTTCCTGTCCCACCACCTCTACGTTTACCACCGGCACCACCACCGGCACCACCACCGGCACCGCCACCAGCACCGCCACCAGCACCGCCACCAGCACCGCCACCAGCACCGCCACCAGTTCCGAAACTAAAACTACTTCCTGTCCCACCACCTCTACGTTTACCACCGGCACCGGCACCGCCACCGGCACCACCACCGGCACCACCACCGGCACCGCCACCGCCACCAGCACCGCCACCAGCACCGCCACCAGTTCCGAAACTAAAACTACTTCCTGTCCCACCACCTCTACGTTTACCACCGGCACCGCCACCGGCACCGCCACCGCCACCAGCACCGCCACCAGCACCGCCACCAGTTCCGAAACTGAAACTACTTCCTGTCCCACCACCTCTACGTTTACCACCGGCACCAGCACCGGCACCAGCACCGCCACCAGCACCGCCACCAGCACCGCCACCAGCACCGCCACCAGTTCCGAAACTAAAACTACTTCCTGTCCCACCACCTCTACGTTTACCACCGGCACCACCACCGGCACCACCACCGGCACCACCACCGGCACCACCACCTGAACTAAAACTACTTCCTGTCCCACCACCCCTTCGTTTACCTCCGGCACCACCACCGGCACCACCACCGGCACCACCACCGGCACCACCACCTGAACTAAAACTGAAGCTACTGCCAGGTTTACCACCAGCGCCACCAGTGCTACTTCCGCCTCTAGTTCTAAAGTTACCAGTACGTCTACTGGCAGGTCTTCTGGTACTAGTACGACGTCGAGTGCCTCCGACCTGTCTACGCTTACGTGACTTAGCTATATCAGATCCCCCCTCTGATGCTTCATCACTGAGCATTTCCTGCAGACAAGATATCAACAAATACCAAGTAAGTATAAATACATACTATGTGCATATGTTAGGGGAGATAACTCGTGCATCGAAGAGTTAAATGACGAGGGTTATCTCTGAAAGGAAGTGACGTAAGCTCTGACGGTTGGAACTTTCTGAGCGGCTGAGAGTTCAAAAGATGGGTTGTCGTTTGTCAGAGTTTCTGAGAGAGACTTTAAACTTTGCTCGCATCAATTTCAAAGATCGTCTTGTCTTGAAATGTCAAACCAAAACAAGACACATGGGGACTAATGCAGGAGTTATCCCCCCTATTTATGTGGTGCATGTTTAATATGGCCATAATAAAATATCGAACTTATATCATCATGCCGACGTTAATGATGTAATATTTATTAAAGAAAGCATGAATATCCATTCATATAATTTGAATTTTTAAATACATTTCAAAACATCGTCAATGGGCCATCATTTATAATAATGTGCCATCATGTGTCTGAGCACACAAGGGTGCAATTCAATTTTGAGACGTATACTAGGTATAAAGAAATAAATCATTTACATACAGTGGATCACGGGAAATTTGGATTTTTCAGCGTTCAAGTCCCTGATGCACATGCGCAGAGATGAAATTGACATAGAGGCGTAATCTTCGTATGCCATCACATGTCACTCCCATTCTCGCGTGCGCTAATCAGTAAGGGTCTCGAAAGCTCTGAAAAATCGAAACATACTTGCAATCCACTGCATATGTATATTCAATGAGCAATTTGCTACAAAGCTGAAGCATATAATCCCCGAGTTTCTGTAACTAAGAACAGCTACCTCTTCTTTTCAAACAAAAGTGACCATATTTGTGCCTGCAACCTTGCTAAAAGGGCATCATGTACCGTTTTTTGTACATGTTACGTTCTTTCTCTATAACACCGATCGTCCCATGCTTCAAATAGACAAAGCAGACAGTTGAAATATTCAAAAAATATTTGTTCACTGAATAATAAATATATATGTATATAGACATGGCCATTGCACTTCCATTTTCGAACACGATACAGAATTTACTGGATGAGATATATGCACGCCAGTGTGTTTGGGCCAAGGTTTAAAGTCTCGAAGTCAATATTGTGTATGCTATCATCGACCTGTGTAACACCTTGATGTTGAACTCTATGCCTTCTCAGAGTGAATACACAGACATGAAGGAACATGCACGTGCATACTATGAACTAAGCTAAACAGTCGCCGCCTGGTGCACGTGCGTCTAGGTAACGCGGATACACCTACCTGCTCTGTGTTGGATGCTTTCTCTGAAATGGAAATATATTTGAAGATTAAATATGGAATTAGATTGATAGTTGCAGTGGGTGGATATGTGATATATCATGTTATATCTTAGGTCTCTATGCTCCACAGACGGCGAGTGGGTAGCCAACTGAATCACATTCCAACAATCTATTGCTTTCCGGGACTAGACGTAAAAGATTCAGCATTTATGTTGTCTAAATTGCTGTTTTTTTCCAATTGTCATCACAATTTCCCGCATACTATGAATCAAGCTTAGAAAGGCATGTAGTCTGGACTAGGCCTGATTTTAAGCTAGGCATGACATAATAAATAAAGAATAACAGCGATAACTTCATCCACATTTTTAAGAGCAGAAAAAGTAACTTTACATCATTCCACATGTAGCCACACTTAAGACTTTACTTGCTGAGATGTATTTGGCCGAATTTAGTTTACTGGCTAGGCACTATTTGGCCGAGTTAACGACATGCCATATGTTTTCAACACGGAACAGCTGCCTACAGGATACCGCCCAGCTTACAAATGTGTCCCGTCTTAGAACGCAGTATTGTGTCGCCATCAGCATTTGGTAGACATTTCAAATACCACTGCTAGGTCGAATAGCAAATAGCTCCGTCGGTCAAACGGTGATGTGCATGTTCTGGAGGAGACTTAAATAAGTCTGGACAACGTGAATGAGTCCCGACAAGTCGTTACCCCCTCCACGCATTATACTTTTTTACATCGTATCTCCATGGTGACCGCCCATGGTGACCGCCCATGGTGACACTGTGTCTGATATAACATCCTGTGATACTTATACGTGGTCTTATGATCTGATGATGTCCATAAGGGTTCAATGATATCAGGTCAAACGGAGCATGGAACAGGTTATATACAACGTGCAATGGATGAATTAATATCGTTTTACCGAATAGATGATCATTTATTGTTTTCAACAAATTATGTATAACATAATTTGTTCCGAAAACATCACTTTTATTTGTTTCTGGTTTCGGAAAGAACAAATGTGTCTTCATACGAGAGTTGAAGAACACGTTAACAATTCGACCAAGCCAGCTGGAGTGTTTTTGTTTAGAAAATGTAACCACATATACTCTCTACATATTTGTGATGGAGGTGCAGGCTTCTTAACACTTTGTGTTTGTATCAATGTCTAATGTTCGCTCACCTGGACACGAGGCACAGCATACACCAACTGGCTTCACAGGCTCATCATCACCACAGTCGATAGACTGACAGGAGGACGCGGTGTCCTTGCAGATAGCTTTTGTGCGCCTGCACGTGCAAACATAGCATGGGTCAGTTCTGTCCGGAATCCAACTATCGCCGTCGGCAACTTCGTCACCATCTTCATTATAGCATTCGCTCTCAACTGGAATAAATACATAATCTCAGAAATATGTTTTACAAAGGAACGGAGTAGGCAGTTTGAGTGAGTGAGTGAGTGAGTGAGTATGGTTTTACGCCGCCTTAAGAAATATTCCAGCAATATCACGATGGGGTGGCACCGGAAAATGGGCTTGACACATTGGACCCATGTGGGGAATCGAACCTGTGTGAACGGCGTCACGAGCGAACGCTTTAACCACTAGGCTACCGTTTAACGTTGAACCAAGAAAGGGCTCTAATTCCGGTTATGTACTGAGCATTAAACATCAACACATACCACTGCTTTGTGAAAATATGACCTGTTTTGAACTTATGTTATAATTCTAATTAGCGCTGGTTTATATAGTATTCGACTTTCGAGTTGACAGCTTCAAAAAGTTTCAGACAAAGCCATACGAGTAATAGTTTAGGTAACAATATCTCAAATAAGTTTATATCCGCAGCGTTGTAATATGTCATACCGGATCATGCCAACAGAACTCAACCATTCGCATGCCGAAAAGGGAGTGTATATAAAATGTAATTGTTTTCCTGTAAAGGGCTTTCTTTAATACGATGGTCATTATATTTTTTCACAAATGAAATAATACAAAGACTTTCTTAGACGCAGGGTGTCCAAGTCCGTTGCAAAGTATGAAGGTTATATTGAAACAACAATATGAAATTGGCGAATGAATGCAGTTTGCAGTGGGACATCTTGTTGCATAAGCGTATCAGTTGCTGCTGTTCAAGGGTATTGAAACAGGTAACGCAATAAGAGCACCATCACCCTATTTAACAAGAGAAGAACAAAGGATAACAAATCCATTGTTGGATACAACGTTCGCTGATCAGACATTTCACATGTGCCTGTTTCATGTACTCTGGTGGCAGGCAAACATTATTAAAATGACTCTACACTTTTTGAAAGTTCGGACAGTTCCATTTACCTCCGATATTTCATTGAAAGTCAGGTGAACGGTGTTTTTGAAACACTTCCCCTTAAACGTGAAACCATAATTGCTTCACATGGTAGCTTGTGTTTCGTTAGGAACCTCGCAAATGCTATACAAGTATTATCAATAATAGAGATGGTTGATCAGATGAAGCAATTGCAAAGACAGAACCCGTTCAACAATACAACATACATACATTCAGTAATCGAATCGAATAAATAGAAATGTGAACAAGTTTGAGTATTGATTTAAACAAAGTGTGTAATTAAGGTAAGATATTTGCACGTAGTATGTATTATATGCGACAGGTTAAGAATAAGAGTCAATAATAACATTTTCTACAAATTCTCTGAATACCAGTAACTTTATGTAATTGTTTGTCTTAAATGATTACCCGACTCCTATGCTAACTGGCATAGTCTGTAACTTAAAGATACTTCATTACATGCTTCATCGGGGTGATGAACGTTCACTAACGATGCCGACTTAAGGCGGGTCTAACTTTAAGGTACAGTGTGCCTTATGTTGAAATTAAATTTCAATGAGGTGTTGTTGACTGAGCAGTTCTTTTGTTTTAATGTTAAAACTAGCTTTCATTCCAAGCTCTAAGTCAATTAAAGTACAATAAATCAAAGTAGGAGTGCGGCGTCATTTAATCATTTGTAACGACCGATCACAAAATACAAAACTACCGACCACCTTTCCTTGCAAGCAAGGACAGCTTAGCAGTAAGAAATCTCATACAGTGAACGTGTCGTTCTGCAACGTGTCATGACCTTCAGCTCAGCATTATGCTAATTTTCTAGGTCAGGAAATCTCATTGGTCTACTGCAGTCCAGTGTGATCTGCCTTGCGTGAACTATTGTCAATATTTCAAACTGACAACTTGTTGCATTGAAACCGTTCGCTTAACCAAGGATATTTCTGTGAAATGAATATTCATATATGCATAGAAGCATCCGCAGCTTCTTTCCATCAGTTAAGAAAGTACATACACAAAAGGCAAGTGTGTAATCACATATCCTGATTTAAACGTGTTACGTTAAAAAACGCGCTTCGGTTTCCTTAAGGAGTAACAGCGCGATTCAATAAAATAACTAAGCCATGCCAACATACATATGAAAAAATGTATACCTACAATTTTTGTCAATCTATTAATTATTCTGTCCAAAAGTTTCTTTGATGTTATTAAGCAACAATTGAATAATTAACACAGAATAATTTTACAAGCTGCTAAATGATTTAGAATATAAAAAGCAATGCAAAAATAATAAATAACAATATCTACCCGAAGAGGTGACGTTTTTCAACGACTACATTTATGTACATTAAACTTTTGAATGAAAACTGACACGCAGACAAAACACGTTTGCCGTATGTGTCACTATGCTATGTGTACAGTTACTTTAAAGACCTGTCTATGAATAAAACTTGTTAAAACGTGCAGAAATTGAAATTAACCCACCTTGAGCGTGTATCACGGCTGCAAGAGCCAAAAGGGCTATCAAAGCCTCTCTCCACATCCTGATGTGTAGTCCGACAAAACGTCAAGACATTCACAGACAAACTTTAAAATTACAAGATTGTTTTAGAAGCCAGAAAATGGCTTCTACTACTAGGAAGAGCCGAGCCTGAACTCCTGAGAGCTCAACAACGGATTCCTAGGAAGTTTGGGTACAATATTGTCTGGCAGGCTTGTGAAAGCTGCCAACAAACCCGGTCTGCTAGACCAGGGATTTTATATGGCGTGCATAAAAAATGGACCAATCGGGAAGGCGAGATATGACCCTCTCTCTGTGCGAGCCTGGAAACTCCAACCTCCACACAGCTCCACACTCCGCAGCTCTGCCTAAATGTAACCCGATACCTAAACAATGGATTGTTCTCGCCTCAGCATCTTTCAACTTTTGACGATAATTTACTTTTAATAACAGAATAATAAGAATAAGAATAAGAATGGTTGCACAATCTGTTTGAAACATGAAAACTTCTGATACGAATTGCTACTTTATATATATTTAGTAGTATATGATTTAGGTGTTCTTTATTAAAATATTAAATATACTTCTTAGTTATTTATAAATTTTGTAACTGCAACATCGTGTCCAATATTTAATTCATTTGGTATTGCCAGAATCACCCTTATTCACATAACTATTTGAGCTTTACTCTACAAATGCTCCAAAAACCTCAATACCAACGTGAAAATAGAGAAAATATATTTATTAAACAGAATAACAATAACTAATGTATTCGATATGTTAAGATAGTTTTAATTACACTCTTAAAATTTCATTCATTTCATTATTAAAGTGGCATAAACGAGTTTTCTGAAGTGTTTAACTTTTATCGAGTAGTAATGTCTTGCTTTGACCTGAAACAAAATCTGGGTCACGTATGTTAAGATCACGAAAATCTATCGCGGTGACCTGAGAAGCCTACAGCCCTCCCCTGCGACCATAAAGTGTTTCTATAATTATCCGTAATACGACACATGACACGGTCCTACTATCACACCATCTTGTCATCGAAGGACTTAATTCCAGCACGTTAACATTTGTATCTCCTGACAAACAATTCCATTTAATTTTCGCTGAGTAAGCAATACACATTCAATTCTGTGTCGTGTAATGCTAATTGTGACAGAATGTTGTTGTTTTTCAAATACTTTTTTATGTAAATTTGATATGTGATTTCCAAAAGTGCATTAACTTGAACACCAAGTAACAAAAAATATGCACGTATTAGTCTCATGTAACTTTTATGGGAAGAAAAAACAATAGTTGTGAAGCATGCTTTATACTTGGCTGTTTACTAAATGTTCATTGACGCTAATAACCATCAAACATTGCATAATTAAATGTTTGCAAACAAGGATTAGGTTAATGAAACAGAAAGTGTGAGGCTACAAGTGAATATAAAATCACACACAAGAGCGCAACATTCGAGTCATGGCCGTCAACTCATTGAATCATTTGAACCTAATTGTTCAAGAGGGTTTAATAATTGTGTGTTATATACGAACACACGTTTTGGCACTATGTTGCTGCACAATGGGACCTACTGATAATTATGTGGGAGAGCAGTCATAATGGTTGAAATTTTGCAAATTGATTATTTTTTTATTTTAAAAATTCCGGTCAGTGACCCGACAGTCAATGACTGTCTGGCTGATAACACAATTTGTGCCTTGAAGTGATTTTTGCAAGACTTGTAGAAACTGCAAGACCTGCATATTCTATATGGCCTGTTCTCCTTCCAAGCTTAGGTTACAGCTAATTAGGTCATCTTAGGCTAATTACTTGACCCAACTGCCCCAGATATAGAGAAACAATGTCAGCAGATAACGTTTATCATTAAAAGTTTAATGTATTATTTTATAGTTTGCATAAAACATGACATATAATGTCAGATGTATTTGAAGCGGACATTATTCACAGTTTGAAAGCAGTTTACTTTAGGATAGTATTTACATCAGTATTGTATTTACATACTTTGTTTAATGGTGTGTTATGTCTTGTAATATGTCAGTACAAAGTGGGTGTGTTGCAAGCATGACATGTGTGATGCTAAATAAAAAAAATCCATCCAAGTTACATACATACATACATACATACATACATACATACATACATACATACATACATACATACATACATACATACATACATACATACATACATACAAACATACATACATACAAGACACATATATATATATATATATAGAGAGAGAGAGAGAGAGAGAGAGAGAGAGAGAGAGAGAGAGAGGGGGGGGGGGGGGCGAGTGGAAATAGATAGATATTTATAATATACGTATATGTGGAATATATTGCATGTGTGAGTTTTATTATATTTAATGTGTTATGTTTATTTGAATTGGAGGGAAATATGTAAATTACATCACACGTCACACTTGCAACACATCACGTTTGTACTTAAAGTGATTATTAGAGGACATAATCATATTCATTGTTCTATTTTGGTTGCTTAAAATACAATCCTCTATCAATTTCAAACTTTCCTAAAACTTCTGAAAGTAAGATCTGCCGTCGCGGGACCCGCTACGGAGGAGCGAATATGGCCCAGTTGGTCTGCCGTAGAAAGTCGGCAGCTGGATCCAATATGTTTTAGCGAGCTGTTCCCAGGCGCGGGACGGTGCCAAGATGGACGTTTCGAAGGCCCTGCAGCGACACTTGTTATCGTGTTCAAGACACAAATCACTTGAGGAATTCTAGCACAGTCAGAGGAACAAAGACCCATGATAGTGGGTACAACTGGTCAGGTACCTCGCCTGACCCAGTGACCAAGTATAATCGGTCTTTGATAGGACCATTCCATCAATCTTCTCTATCTGTCCGACAGGGACAGTGTTAAAGTCAGATGAGTTATTTAAAAACATAAAAAGTATTTTCGTTTCTGAATAATTATATCAAGGATATATATAGCAAACGTTTATCTACTTATTTACTTTAGCATAAAGTGCGGGGAAATGAAAGTATGCACTTATGTTTGATAGTGGCTAAAACTGAAACAAACAAAAAATAGTTATACGATGGTGATGTTAGTTTACAATACTCCTCTCAGACTGGAAATGTTTTGATGACGTTCGTAAGGTTTTGGTCAAATCCAATTTTCAAGTGAAAAGTTTAGATTATGCGCGTGTTTTCTTACTCTAAAAAAAATAAAAACATTCATGATAGGAAGCTCGGTGACTGGACAAATGTCGTTAATCAAGGTATTTGATAGGGAAAGATGTATTCTACTGGCGTGCTTATTGCATTAACATTAGTACAGATGCGACATGTATGAAAGGAAAACAATAGTACATACCATACATACAGAAATGGCAAAGCGACAAATACAAGCGACAAACAATTTCCATAATCATAAGAAATCAGGTATGCTGAAGAAGAGTAACAGAACTCAAACCACGCCGTGATATCAGTGGAATACTGTTGAAAGCGGTGGTAAACCCAACTCACTCACTCACACACTCACCTAGACAGTTATTGTGCCGGCATGACTAAATAGTAGTTAATATTAAAAGGTTATTCATATAGATCTGTTGACATGTTTGTTCATGAAGTCAATATAAAGCAGTAATTAGTACACACCACAAAATAATAATTATCAGCAGAAGAAATACGTTTCTTCTACTGACGTCACTTCCTGTTGGTGCATTTTCTTCTATTTCTTTTGATTATATAGTGTATAGTTTATAGACTTTCTGGTGACGTTGTATTACGGGAATAAAGGCTATAACTATTTTAGTTTTGTGGTGTGTTGATAACGTAGGTTTCAGTAAACGTATTTCTAGCGTAAATGCCCCTTACCCTAGGTTTCTCCTGTAACTGTTGGTTATTTATTTATACACGAGGCAGAGGCATTTAGTTCAATGGCGACCGCCTGACCCGAGAGACATAACATAAACAATGAATAACACAGCATGAACGTCTATTCAATTATGTTCATCCCCTGCAGTAAATATTCAGCTTGATGGACGGTGGCTACTTTTTACCAATTCCAATTGTTCCACTTTTGTGGAGTTTTGCCAAAGAAAGATTACTGTGAGGAGCATTGATGGAAGCAGCTGCTGTGATGAGTCAGCAAGGTTAATTATACATGCCCCTCTGAACTTTGACCAGAGAACGGTTCCGCATCCATGGCAATGGTCAGGCGATTAGTCAGTGTAAACATGATTTCGCCCCAGCAATAAACACTTGACCACAAGTATACCAGACATCTGAGTTCACCATTTACAGTCTCCCAACCGGATGTTGGTGGCGGACCACCATTTGCGTGCAGATTAGATACATATTCCTATCAGTTATTTTATATTCACTGATAATATCATAACCTTGATCAAATGCTGCATAGTGCTTTGTGCAAGGATGTAAACACAACTATCATGTCCGTATCAACACTATCTTATCCACATGTAGTCAGATTTCAGTGAACTGATGTTGCCTATTATCGAAATAGTGAGTAAGCCAGTCTGATTTAACGCCGCTTTGAACAGAACTTTAGTTATATCGAATATGTCTGCCTACTACTCTTTTAAACGTAGAATATTTGTATTTTTACTTGTGGCTAACTTTGCATACAGTCGCCAGTTGCTGAAGGGATGATGTAAATCCTGCTGGGGTCCATGCAGGTAGCAAAGGTACTGTAAGTCCCCATGGTCCCCAGTATGGTGGTCTACCTTCAGTTGCTGGCGATCTATAGCCTGTTTTTATAATGTAATGTTATGTATAGTGCTATTGATTTTATGATTAAATACTAGTTTTAAATTTATTTCTGTGATAAGTCTAGTTATTTTACTGTCCCTCGTTGGCAGGTTTTTATATAAGCTTCAATATATGTATCATATATTTACCCATTGATAGTGACGATATGGCTGAAATATTGCCGATGTGACTTAAAACTTAACTCACTCACTAGTTATCACGGCGGGCTAGCTTGATGTGGGAGGAAAGCAAAAAGTGATGCAGGTCACATCCGTTTACTAGTTATGGGTAACATGCTGACAAACCTAGACCAATGAACCAGCTGCTGTGATACAGCTATTGTGGTGTGTTAAAATATCAGAATGAATTATACTGATAATGTATATGTGTCTATATACGTCTTTGATTAATTGTACAAGAAGGGACCTTGAAATGTCATATGGATTTAATAAAGTAATTCCGGGTGGTCAGGCTCGCTGACTTGGTTGATGCATGTCAG